ATGGTGAAGTAAATAAATGCCTTGGTGCTCAGACTTTCATGCCGCGTTTGGTATGCTGTGGCTCTCTTCCACAGATGGAGTAAATAGAAAGCTAAATGCAGGCAACCAAATATGCATTGCTGCAAGGAAAGACAAACAGTAACACAATCCAGAACCAATAAATATTTTTCTATGCACATAAATTATTTGGATAGCAATGGTGGTAGTAAAAGGAAAAAATTAAATGATGACATGATCTTATCAAAAGGCAAACAGGCTTGGCCATAGAAATAAACAGATAATAGATTGAAAAATGGACATTGGTAATGCAATTTTAATCTAAAATTAAAGGAATGCATTTAAAGAATTTACATACAGTACTGATAAATTGATGGCCATGTTTTTATTTGGACAGTATAAATATTTTTTTTGCTGATGTTTGTAAAGTCGTTAAGATCTCTAAAAGTTAGTTTTTCACCATCGTAGAAAAAGAGAAAGGAAAAAAAAAAAACAAGCAAGCAAACATAGAATAATTAAGCTAATTTAAAACTATCATTTGGTAAATTTTTATCATGAGATGGGTTTATTGTTTACTGTGACAGGCCTAGCTGTAAATCATATTGTTTAGTGTTATAGTAGCATGCTGCTATACTCAGCTCTCTCTCTGTTGTTCATCTGAATTAAACAGGAGCTCCACCCCCATTAAGAGGTTCACATCATTCAGACAGAGGCAAGAAAGTCTAGCTGCAGACCTGCACTGTCAGGACCCTTCACTGCAGACCTGCACTGTCAGGACCCTTCGCTACAGACCCACACTGTCAAGATCTTTTGTTACAGACCTGCACTGCCAGGACATTTCATTGCAGACCTGCACTGTCAGGACCCTTCGCTACAGACCTGCACTGTCAGGACCCTTCGCTACAGACCTGCACTGTCAGGACCCTTCGCTACAGACCTGCACTGTCAGGACATTTCGTTGCAGACCCACACTGTCAAGACCTTTCGTTGCAGACCTGCACTGTCAGGACCCTACACTACAGACCTGCACTGTCAGGACATTTCATTGCAGACCCACACTGTCAAGACCCTTCGTTGCAGACCCGCACTGCCATGACCCTTCGTTGCAGACCTGCACTGTCAGGAACCTTGGTTGTAGACCTGCACTGTCAGGACCCTTGGTTGTAGACCTGCACTGTCAGGACCCTTGGTTGTAGACCTGCACTGTCAGGACCCTTCGTTGCAGACCTGCACTGTCAGGACCCTTGGTTGTAGACCTGCACTGTCAGGACCCTTGGTTGTAGACCTGCACTGTCAGGACCCTTCGTTGCAGAACTGCACTGTCATGACCCTTCGTTGCAGAACTGCCTCAAGCATTAGAGTCTGTTTTGTTAAAATCTGTAGTATGATAAATAGTCTTTGAAATATGATGGTGTGTCAAATATTAAATCCAAAAAAAATCCATCAAATTATAGCCAGACCTTAAAAACAAACTTTTAGGCCAATTTTATTCAATTAGTTTTTGTCTTTGAATGTAGCTCCTTGTAATATTTATTAAAGTTGAATTCTCTGCATTCTACAATGTGTTGTTGATTGTGCAGAGGACTTTAATTTATAATTGCCTTCTGAGTTGCAATTTAATCAACATAATCATGGATATGCCTCAATCCCAGCTCAGTTTCTTGCTCGTCACTGTGGTGAGGATTAGGTATTACTAATTCCAGAGGATCTACACATCAGTCATGCTTAACTCCTCTTCCTTCAATGAATTTCTAATTATGTGTGAAGCTTCAAAGCTAAATATAAAAAAAAACTTTAAAACTCACAGTCGTTAAGGCTTAGCACACAGTAATAAACCTATAAAAATAAAAGTTGTTAGGTGTAGAATTTAATTTTTAAACTGTTCAAAAAAGCTTTTATGTAATTATATATGGATATTTATTTAAAACATTAAATGTGGTGGATGGATAAGGCTTCTCTTACTGCCTGAGCTCACCCGGCAAGGGAGACAAACACTCCAAGATATTCCAAACAATAGGTGCAGCATCAAGGAAAGCTTCATAGATCAATATCCTTGGGCCCTGCATGGAAATTAAGTTAAAAAATCTATAGAAAATAATGAATTGATCCTGAAGGGAAACCAAATATTTCAAGCTGTTGTAGGTGTTAATAGCTGTAGAAAGGAAGGCTCTCCTGTAGTGGTCTGCCGTGCTGCAGAGCTGCAGCAGCCTCTGACTAAAGACACTCTGTTGTTATTAAACAGTTGTTTAAGTAGGAGGATCCAAGTTGTAACTAATTTTCTTTAGTTCTTGAAGATTTTTTTTTTTTTTCAAATCATCTACGTCGGTTCAGGAGGAGTTCAGAGAAAGAAGTTGTTCTTTATTAGCATGTTAAGCTTCTATAAGTCTGCTCCAAAGTTCAGTAGATGATCGCATTAGGTGTCACACTCTCCACAACTGACTTAAAGAAGATATTTAACATCTTGCTGGAAACGTAAGAGGGAAAAAAAGCAGACCTTGTGGGAAATAAATACAGATATCTACAACCATAAACGTTAACAAAATGTGTGTTAGCCTGCTTGACTTCAAGACAGACTAAAGGAGGTGATTGTCTTGGGATAGGGTTTGATTTACAAGCAGTTTAACAAGTTTTTAAGGAAGACCTGACATTGAATGTAATGGCAAGGACAGGATAAAGCACAAAGCTACTGTTAATTAGAGAGAAAAAACAACATTTTTTTACATCTCTATAATTTCTTCTGACTGTTATCTGTAGGGAACATTATGTGTCCTAAATGGTGCTTATTACAGAGGACGACATGCTCGGTAGTGTGTGGCACTTTCTTTGCAAAAAAGGCCTCTTCTATAGCCACTCATTTGCAGTGTTGTTACCTTTCCCACAATATGGCTGAAACCTATTCTAGAGGCAAAGAAACCTTCCATTTATAATAGGCAATACCATGAAGGATTAAGGAAAATCGTATATTGCAGATCTGATATACACGTCAGTAATGGACTTGCGGGAGAAGAAGTTTGTACCATAACAAAAAATGTATCTTAACAAGCACATTTTTGTCATTCCAATCATTAATAAAAATAAAATGTGATTCTAAAAACATGTACTAATCTTCTATGAATCAATAAAGAAAGGAGAAGGGAGAAATAGATGAGAGGGAACTCCTGGAGGATAAAAGAGGTTGGAGCAACCGAGGGAACACCCAGAAAAACGAGTTGCATGGAGGCAAAAGGATAAGTCTGGAAAGAGAGAAGAAAAGAGGAAGGATTATGGATGTCTGCAAAAATGGAAAAACCCAGGGCTATATGTCAGAACCGTGACTTCTAAGGCTTTGACATATTGCCAAGGAAATGATCAGTCAGCACAGTTTTAGAGTACGGAGCTCATCACAGGCAGACTTAAAATGCAAATACTTCTAAGCCTACAGGACTCCGAGTTTCCAACATTTTCAAGTATGAGCTCCAGATATTTATAACCCAGGTGGTTTTGCACCACAGCAGTATTTCCTAAATTGCTGGCTTGGGTCTAAACTTTCCTTTTGTGGTACTTTTGATATGAAAAAAAACAATTACATGTTTCCTGCACAAGGGGTAATATTGTGGGGGTTTTTTTGTAAGTATATCTTATGTTTGTATATATGTGTTTTTAAATTAAGGGTAATAAATAGTCAATAATTTCTTTCCACGGATGTACCACACAAAGCGTTTTTTTAAAACGATGACAGCTCACATTTTTGATTCTGTTTTGTGTTTTAACTTCCTTTAAATGATTTAACTTCATTTAGAAGATTGACGGTGTTGGCTTTCATGCACCACTTATTGCCTGCAGCCACTCGATAGAGTGCAGGGTGGTAAAGCAAATACTTAGATGTTTCTTCACAATGCTTTTGAAAAAGGAAAAGCTTCTCCACCTGCGCAAACCTCTGTTCAAGACATGTGAAGCAGAAATAGGCTCCAGTTTGAGCTTACAGAACAATGATGGAGTATGGCTAAAAGTACAAAAATATATCAGAAAATGATTTTAGATGAATAATTTAGAAAAGATTGCCTTCTTTACTTTTGACTTAACTCTGCGTTGACTTATTTGAGTTTGCACTGCTTTCTGTGGGGCTCTTTGCTCTTCATCTGTTTCACCTTTCTTGGAGTCAAAAACATTCTGTAACAGAAAATATGCTTTTTATCATGTCCAATAATAAATAGCTATATTTGGAGGCCTTGTAGTATTTGATTTTCTGGTTTCTGAATAGCCTGTATTTTTGCACGTATTTGAATTGTATCTTTTTATGGACTTTTTTGTAATTCATTTTCTTTCTTTTTTTTTTTGCAAGGACCAGAGTTGAATAGTTCTTACAGTCATCTCTGCAAAGTGCTAAAATGAAGTGGCTTAGAAACCTTGAAACTGTAATTAAAAGGTGAACCTCGGTAGCAAAAAATTTGAAAAAAGGAAATGTGCTAGAGCAAAGCCTTTATTGCATTTGTGATCTTTGTGAAAAGAGACATGACTGAAGAAGTCTCCTTCTGTCAAATAAAAATGAGGACGATTCACAGCTTTATGCACTGCCTGTGGAACACAACTTTTAACTATTTGCCATGGTGATCTTTTTTAATTAGGCACCCAGAAATATGTACTCTACATGGTTCTATTACCCTGTTAATGCATCTGATAAAAATTATTTTTTTTATTGAAACAAATTTGGAACAAAGAGTCGTTAACTGTTTGAGATTCAGTGCTAAATTGAAATAAGATAATACAGATCCACGTGTCCAGGTGGAAGTCCTCATTATGTTTATTGACCACCAGAGAAAAGGCACCCACTCCAAATGACCCTGAGCAGGAACAAACATGTTTGGCATATGGATGGATAAAATGCTACAAATAAAAAGCCAAGTCTAGTTCTTTTCTAGTTGTCTTTAGTGTAATAAATAACCCTTTAACAGTCAGAGGGTCACTCTATAGACTGTTTTGTTATATTAAAATATGTTTCATGTGTTTTGTGTGTCTGATTGCAGGTTGGAGAAAGGCAATTTGTGCTGGTGACGGAGGAATCTTTTGATACCCAGTTCTTTGTTTCCCACAACAAGTTCTACGAACAGGTAAGGAAGCTGTTAATTAAGGATATTCATTTTGCATCATAGGCTCAAAAAGCTTTTTGCACCTAATAAACAAGCTATGTAGTATTAATGGCACAAGGCATCAGTGAGAGAATTACAAAAGCATCATTTTATAACAGATCTTATCAAGGCACTTGTCAAATGCATTAAATTAAAATCCAGGTTGATATTCAATTAAAAACACTTCTGGTTAATTTCAACACAATCTAATGTTAGACTCACATTCAGATTCAACTACATCCAATCCAAATACAATCATTATTATTGAATGACAAAAACACGATGAGTTGATCATAAAATGCTCATAATTAAGAAGCGTGTATCTAGCTATGCCAAGTCGACTGCATGGAGTTATTGACTGCAGCCATCCGTCATCCTGAGCCATCATGTAGCAACAGTGTCAGGAGCGGCTCCCTTTTATCAGACAAAAACCTTCAGCTGTTTGGGAGGACAAAAAGCAGAGCAAAAACTATCAGAAAGGAAAGGTGCTTCTATATATATATATATATATATATATATATATATATATATATATATAAATAAAAGAGAAAGCATGCAGTGCTGAAGACAGCAAAAGCTCTGTTAGCAACTGTGTCTTGGAAAGAAGCTCTGCTTAATATTGAAGCACTAAAGTAGTTGTTCTGTCTGTTGGTTAAAAGTAACTAGACCTGCCTTTAGTAAGCCTCTCTTCTGGAAGCTAGTTCCACAGGAGAAGAACCTGAAATCTGAAAGATCTGCCTACTATTCTAAAGCCTTACTGTACTAAAGCCCCTGTCACACCTTGACAATTTAGCCAGCGTATGCCTGACATATGAAAAATCTGGCAAAAACGCTGGTATACGTTGGATAAGTTATGGGTCAGTTTTGTATGTTATGAGCATGCTGAAGTACACTGAAACATGCTGGCACACGTCGACATATGGCAAGTACTTTGAGGCCCACGTATGCCAGCGTACGCTCATACGTGGGCCATAAGTTATAGTTAATTTATGTGATCATTGATCATACGTTAAGTGTAAGTGACTCATAAGGCGTGGTGTCTAGCTTATCCAAATCCTATGAGTAACTTGTGCATAACTTATGGGTAACTTATAAAGAACTTATCTCCAACGCATATCAACATATTTGACGTGTCCCAGACGGTCACTGAACATGTTTCTAACTTACAGCTACTGTTTAATGGCGTATTGGCAGCGTTTTGGTATAAAAGCTGGTTCCCAGGAGGAAACTGTCAGTTCTCCTCCAGACTTCATCACCATCTTAGGGTTAGTGTGAAGGTGAGTGTGATGGATCCTCCCTGCGTTTTTTTTTTGCAGGCGGTAAACAGCAGCAGGGTTAATACCTTGACCAAAGACATCTTTTTATGTAGGCCGGGCGCCTCTGGGCGCATTGCTGCTCCCCTTTAGGACGGTTGTGTTGCATAATTTCATGGGCATTACGTTGCCGCACATTATGCATTAGTAAGGCTGTCGTTGGACTGAACTACTGAACTTGTTATAATTACTCTATGTATACGCCCAAATCATCAAGGTTTGAAAGGGGCTTAATATCTCCTAGTTTTCTGACTGCTCACAAGTCAAAGCCTGTGTAATTTGAACTTTGACATCTGCATCTGCCGTTGGAGTCTGACTGGATTCCGATGGCAGTAAAGATTTTTGTGACCAAACTCGGTCTGTTTAAGGAGTTCAATTTGTTGAGGTCTCCTGTTTTCCTTTATGCATTAAGTTTCTGTTAGACATAAACCTCAGAGCTCCAATTTCTTTGGTCTTTCTGAAATTAAACTGTGTTGTACTTCACATCTGCTACGGATTCATTAATACATCGTAACATGAGCATGACTCTCACAAAACAATTTAATTAAGGTACTTTATTAAGATACATTTTTTTTTTAATTTCTTAGAAAGTAAAATGTTTGGTAGATGCAAAGTTTTCTTCAAACAGAAGTACAGTAGGGTTAGGGTATTGATTAATTACTTTAAACTTGATCAGTTTTTTCTTCTTTTATTTGCAGACAGCATAGAAACACTGCTTTATTTTCTCCACGAGGCCATAAAAAAACGAGTGCAACACTGCTGGGCGGGACATGTTAAAAAAAGAAAAGAGAAGTCACTGACATTAGATGCATAATACAAAGCTACTCTGCTCCACACAGGGATCTATGCTGAAAGCATACAGTAAAATATCTTTAAACAAGTCTGAATTATAGATTTTTTTTGTCTCTTGGTTGTGGAACTAAATCAACTCTTTCTCATTTTCACACTTAGTAAATGACATCTTTGGGTTTGCTTTGGCTGTCACATGCATCACTCACAGCAGGTGTCTGAGGCATAGCTTATATTCACTAAAGTAGGTTAGCTCTAATATCTGACATACTCACAAACACACACCAACACACCCTACGGTGGTCATGAGAGAATTTGGCAGCTGATAACAGCAATACTTTTTTCCCTCTTTTTTACTGTACTAACATTAAGGTCAGCCCTAAAGACATACACATTTTATGCATACATGACACACACACGCACAGCAGTTGCATGGCTTCAAAGACCTGCAGTCAACCTGTGAAAAATTCACTTTAAAACATCTTCAAATAAATCAATTTCCTCCTGCTTTAACCATCATCAGAAACATGTTTGAAGTTATGTTTTTTATTAGCAGTGAGGGCATGGGACGGTAATAATTTTTCCTCCCTTCTAGTTCCCTCCCCTCCCCTTTCCTCCTCCTGCTTTGCACCTCCTTCTGCAGGCTATAAAGCTAAGTTACAAGTGTTACTTGGTTCATGCGTGTTGTTGGAGTGCACAGGCTGGTGTCATCAGTGTGTGTTTCCAGGCATATGCTATGGCTGAAATGAGATGTTTGGTGTTTTATTCTCAAAGCCCTCTTGTGCTCTTAAATTACACTTTTACTTAAGAAAGTAACAGCTTTGCAAAAGAAAAAATATAATAACATAACCAGCATGTCACTGAAGCTGTTGAAGTCCCTTGAAGAAAATGCCTGATAGTTTTGTAAATGCAATAAATCTGTCACACTATAGTGATCCTCTGGCTCTATAAACTTCCTAAAAGTTTTTTTAAGCATTTAACTACTTTTCTTTTTTTGAATATTTGCCATTTCTGCTGTTTAAATATACAACATCCAGATCTTTGAGGACATGCTGGCTGTTACTTTTGTGTATGTGTGTGTGTGTGTCTGCTCAAGATATTAGGAAAAATAACCATTTCCATAAAGGAGCTTTCAAATAATAATTTGAAGCCATATAAGTTCCTCTCCCTTTGAACCATTCAAAGTTGTAAGACGTGGTAATCAGATGCTTCTAGTTTTGAATGTTTACCATTTTTGGTGAAATAACTTTCTCACTTTAATCTAGGTTTTAAGAGCATGCTAGTTTCCCAATTTAAACTTTTAAAATAACTATCAGCTCCTGTAGTCTGCAGTTAGTGGGAAACTACTGCTACAAATTTAAACAGTTGTTGATAAACTTTCGTTGTGGACTCCAGAATCCTTCATCATCCATACTCACCCTTGCATTTTTTTTTTATTAAAAAAATACAAATTACTATTAATACATTTGTTTTGCTTTCCACTATCCTTCTTTTATAATGTTTCAAAAGCTTTGAATATTAAATAGAGCAGGTGAGATTGAAACCTTTAACAATCTGATAGAGCTGCTCTCTTCCTCCAAATTCATACATGCAAACAGACACACGCAAGAACGATGTGCAAGCACTCATGTTTCAGTTGTTCCTGAATGATAGATACAGCCTTACCACCTTCCATTTTAGCCTTTTTGCAGTCTGTGGCGTGACTTGGAGTGCACAAATCTAGATGCTCATAAAGAAAACTATTTAAACGCACAAATACACACCTTTGCATCCATTTACGTATGTTGACAAAATCCTGACTGACTGAGGAATCTAGTTTTTCACTTGCATTTAAAGTTTTCTCCTTTTAGAGTGTAATTGTTTTGGTTCAAGGTAAAGGTTTCAAAATAAATCCTGGAAAAATGTATTTTAATGTTTTATCTTTGTGTTTTGTTTTTGAGGGTTTGGTTGATTGTTGGTCAGTTGGGTTGAATATTGGCTGGGGCAGTCTTAGGCCTAATTTGTTACAAACAAGGTGATGTTAGTACTTTGCATTTTGACAAATAATTTTAACAGTTGTTTATACGTTTATACTATATTCTATACTTTTAGTTGTGCAAATAAAATGTAACCAACTTAAGTGTCCATGGTTGTGGGAAAACCTCAGTGCAGAAAATTATTTAAGGTTACATCTTTCAGCGATGTATCTTAAACACATCATCTCAGATTTCTTCTAGACTTCATCTTATTCTTTAGGATCTTTATATCCGTGATTATTATCAAGTTAATGTTTAACAAATTTATCCTAACATTTACATTTTCTAGTGTTTTTACTAATTTTTTCTTCCCAGGCTTGACTTTACCTTACTGAGCTGATTACTGTAGCTCACCTCTTTCACACATCAGTTTCACAGGAAGTGCAGATTTTCAGATCAAAAATAGTTATGGCATCAAACTGCTGAACTCAGATCAGTAGAAGTTACATTTTATTATCACAATTGTGTAACCATGTTCCAAACGAAACTGGTTACAAGGACATAAAAACATTGCTGTTGGAAAGAAATTAGTATAACATGTGGTTGAGAGGGGAGGGTTAAGGGGTCAGAGAAAAAAAAGGGCAGAGAGAGGTTCACAGGTGAACTTCCATTAGAGGGAACAGTGTATGAAGGTAGACCAATGTGTGAGTATGATTTAGTAGCCTGGTTTTACTTACACAATCATATTATATCTGTGTGGCAATTAAATTAGGTAGGTCATTTAACCCCTCTCAGTTGGTCCGTGTGTTTGCAGTTCAATGAGGAAGCAGGAGTTGGGGTCCTAATGAAATTGGACATGGTCTTTCATCATCTAATCACCATGTTATGGTCCAGGAATGACCCGCGCCCACCTGCACGCACAGCTATACACATTCTCACAGCTGTCCAGCCCTACAACCCTGCTGTTCTCCCGCTCTGCTCACAGGCTGCTGGCTGGCAACTTGCATGCACATGCACACTCTCTTACAGAGGTCAGAGTGTTGAGCAGCAGGTGTTTTGATTGGACAGGTCTGCAGCCGGCTGTGTGTCCATTTGGCCTGAGCTCCCTCACCTATCATATTCCACCAGGCGGATAAAGAGCGACAGATTAACAGGGAGGCAGGCACAGTCCTGCCAGCGCAGCAGTGACCATCTCCCCACCAGTTCATATGCTATTATCTTCCCAGTCAGTGACTTAGCCCAGGAGAATTGTGTAATGGTTAGACAGGCCACCAGATGATCTGAGTCAGCAGGTTGCCACCCTCCTGATGTGCTGCACTAAACTCTGAGTTGGTTCAAAGCTGCAAATTCTGGCCTTATAGAAAAAAGAGCAGCAAACAAATCTATGAATTATTATCTCTTTTAGCCTTTAGTAGCACTAACATGTAAAGGAAATGTTTGATATAGTGTGTATTGATCTCTGAATTTCCCTTTTGGGTTTTATTATGTATTTTTGAATGAAATTAAATAGAATTTGCCTCAATTTAAGGAACTGTAGTATAACTTGTGTTCTTATTGAGCCATGAAGTGAGTCCTAATAACAAAGAGTCATTTTATTTCCTTTTAGGTTTAAGTTTAGTTACAATTACAAGAAATAAAGAGCTTAAAATGAAGTTGTGACTATATTTCACTCAAGTTTTCACAGCTGCACTTTTAAATCTTTTCAGTAATCACACAACACAAACCATCCAATTAGTGCTCACAAAGAAAGATTTACTCTGAAAACAAAACACTAAATCAGTCCTATAATCATCCATTATACATCATTTCAAACTTGTCAGATCTAAAGTTTAAAAAGTGTTTTGAACAGGAAAGGATTTTCATACAATTTTTATTCACAGGGATAAGTCATTAAGAACACATTTCTATTCACAGGCAGGCATAATTATAATTCTTTGTTTTCCCTTCCCTCCTGGTGTGATCAGCCAAGGTTTATAGTTACCATGGTGAAATAATAGGACAAACTCAAATCCCTCTGGTTTATCGCGCAGCTGTTGCCGTACTTTTTGACCTTGAGGACTTAAATAAATGGAACAGAAAACAGTTTCTTCTTAGGAAGCCAGCGACAAACTAAATAATAATGTGAAGAAAACAGCTTTGAGCAGCAGTTAATTGAAAATGTAATTGACAGATATGAAGGAACATGCAGAGCCTCCATCGCTCTGTGAAAATGATGTTTATGCAGGACTGCTGTTAGGGGAAATTACAGCAAAATGCTGCATTGATCCAAAATCTGATACTAAATGACACATTACAGTATATTTATCAAAATTACTTTTTCTTTTCTTATGTGTAAAAAATTTTTTGGTGCTTGTATTTCACTTTTTAATTACATCGGCCTCTTATTTGCAGGTGCTGGTGCCTAAAAGGGCTGAATTCAAAGGGAAGATGATAGAAGTAGACATCTACGAGGCAGGAAAACACTTTATGAAGGGGAGGCCAGTGGAAGACAGCAAACCATTCACTCCCTCCATTGCTGCACCTCTTCGGAAAGGAGAAGTATCTGGTTTGATGCAGGTAAACACAAGGATGACATACCCACACATTCAAGAAGAAGCCTGTCTTCCAAATACTTGTTTAGCAAAAAAGACTAATATCCAAAAAGAGCACACTTAAAAACAAAAGCATCTCTATTTATAAACTAGTCTGCCATGTTCAGGCCTTTGGGGGGTTGTCATTCAGTCTGAAAGATCAGTAGATGAAACTTCTGCCCTCCTTTAATTCAAAGTACTCTTGAGCGACATTGAACAATACACTTTCTGTGCTTAGGTTTTTGGTATAATTATTGCTGCATGTCGCATTAAATAGATAGCATCTTTGTGAGCTAGTAAATTAAGAAGCGTTATCAGGATATATAGGTACATCCAAGGAAAGATTAACCAGAGTCATTGCAATACATTTACTGTTATACCACCAACTTTTAATCATTTGCAAAAGCTCATAAACTAAACACTAAAACACTAAAAGAAAAAACAGCAGTTACTTAAAATGAAATAAAATTTTCTCCTTCTGTTAGCCAATCTAGTACATTTGAAGTCATTTCCCACATTAGAATATGTTTTAAACACAGTTATGAAATATAAATAAAAGTTTTTCATCTTAGTGATAATGATGTCAGGCTGACAAACTGGCTAGACTTATTGTTTTTTTCCCTAAAAAATAAATTAACATTAAATATGTAAATACAAAAAGAATAAATAAACAGGGGTTTTTTTTTTGCGTTTGAATTAACTAAAAATGAGACAATTGAATGTGAGAATATATGCATAGTTATGCATTGTTGAGTCTTTAAGTATTGTGTTTAGTTGTATCTTTATTCACCTGCTAAATTTATTACTGTTCAACTTGGGTTTCCTTGCTTTGCTTTGACTCTAGAGTTGCTTCATATAATGCAATTCTGGTTTATAATTAAAGATGATCCTTTGAGGATCTGTCTGCCTCTAATATTACTGCAGCTGCATGCAGCATTAAACATTTTACATAGTAAAGAGATAAAGCTGGTCAGTTAGTTATTAAACAAAATATAAGCTCTTTTAGCACCTAAGTTTATATATATATATATATATATATATATATATATATATATATATATATATATATATATATATATATATATATATATATATATATATATATATATATATATATGCTAACTAAACCTTATTTCTCTTTACTGTAGTTTTATAGACTACTCATCCAAACTTGAAATACTAAGTATTTATTGTTATGAATTATATCATTGCAAAATGTGCTAACATTACTAAATGTTTTTTTTTTTTTTTTTTTACTGTTGTGCATGTGTGAGCAGAATATCTTGTATTGTTTAGAAACAAATGCACAAGATGATAAAGGTCAGGAATGAATTCCCACCAGATGTTGTTGCACATGGTCAGCTTTTTTAAAATATATATATTAAAGATAGGCATCCGGGTAAATTATAAAATCTCTGAGGTCTCCTTTCACTTCTCGCTGCAGGGTCTCTGTTGGTCATTTAAGGCTGAATGGATTAGTCAATAATCTAAACCATTTTATTTTATATTTGCACAAAATATTCCACACAGATAGCTTCATTTAGTGTCATGTTCCATATTCTGTATCTCAATGCGCTTTTTTTCCTCAACAGACTGCCAGAATCAGAAATAGGGCGTGCAATTGAGTTTCTTTGCTCTTTAGTAAACAAATAAGGTGTGAATACATGTGTCCTTTTTTAAATCTGTCCTCACCTCTGTAGCTTGTGGAAAAGAAGCAGTGTATCATCCGTGAGATAAGTAATTTTAGATAAGCTGTTGCTGGCTAAACTGTTCTCTATCTGCCTTTCACCTCACACACAAAACCATGTTAATGTATCTGTTTCACTGCATGTTATTTTTCACTCTGACTAGCTGTAGCTTATAGCTTAGGACATGGAGCCACTGAGCAGAATATGATACACTTTCTAATTTCACACTCCATCAGCCTTTACTTCCAGACAGAGGGGAAGGGGGAAGAAAGGTACAGACATGAGAGGGAGAGGGGCATTGATGATGAGGAAAGGAATGGATAGCAGAGTATGAAATTAAAATAAGGAAACCAAAAAGGGAAGGTTGCATATCAAGCCGAGCGCTTTAAAAAGTTCAGCAGTAATGACGACAGCTGGTTGGACCATAATGTAACCAGCCCATCCAGCATGTACTCTCACTCCGCTACTCTTTCTACAGGATTCCTGCCGCTGGTGTTGTTCCCATAGTCTCTCTCTCTCTCATAGATTCATGCGATAAAAACACATCACAATCATAGCTGTGCTCTAGATCCATTTTGCTATTTTTTTCTCTTCAATGTTTAATGAACTCAAAGAAAATGTATCATTTTAATTGTTAAAGGAATGGATTTGTAATGATTGGTTGATTATGTTTTTGGTTTAGACAAAAAAAAACACATAATGAAAGTACCTTAAAGTTTTTAAAATGAGCTCATAAATAGCATCTAATAACAAAAGTGATTTTCTTTTTCTTTATCTTAGCTCTTAACTAAACATATATTTCTTCTTGCCTCTATTCCTTCCAATGTAAGTGTTATAGCAAGCTAGATGTATTTTTCTATCTGTGGTCCCTTTGATTGATTTCTAAGCAATGATTATTATGACCTGCATTAGCTGGTCCTATTGGTTGTGCAATAAGTGGCCTAATGATGTGTGAAACAGCAGTATTATTTCCATGCTGCTCACTGTATTGTCAAACATCCTGGTAAACATAATATTCCTGGCCAAACACAGGATTTGTTTTTACTAATATCAGGAAATAAACACAAATACTAAGCTTTCGTTTTGTTTTCTTAGTTATTGTAATTTTCAACCAAAGCTTTTATTATTTTTTTTTTAAGAAAACAAGTACTGCTGATTAAAGATGCACTGATGAAAAAAAATGTACCCACTTCCCTATATGTGTTTGGGTTTGGGGTGCAAATATAAATGTTAGTATTTCAGAGCTATAATCTGAGATTTTCCTACATACCTTTGAAGAACAGTCACTCTATATTATATCTACATAATTGCAGTGGTGTCAAAAGTACCCACATTTGTTACTTAAGTAGAAGTATAGATACTGCAGTTTAAAAACACTCTGGTAAAAGTTGAAGTATCAACTTGACCTCTTTACTCAAGTAAAAGTGAAAAAGTATGTGCTCCAAAAACTACTTAAAGTATAAAAGTATAAAGTAACCTTAAAAAAAAAAACAGCCAGATGCCGCTATATGAATATTAAAGATACATTTTTCGACTATTTCTAAAAATTCTTTGAGATAGGGCCAAGGATGAGGGAGGTCTTGTTGGTCTCCGTCTCCCGATACGCTCTCGCCTGTGTCCGACCTTTCAGACATTTCAACATCTTTTTCTGAATCCCACATTGTAGCATGGCATAGACAATTCACGTTAGCAGTTTGAAGAACACCTTGCTTCTGATGATTTCCTTTAGCTAACCAATGAGTGTTTGCCTTATATGACTCATCCAATCACACTAGTTTTCACTAGATGTGGATGGAGCCAATGATCTGCATTGGATGGAGCACATGACGGGAAATAAATATTTACAAACATTAAACCACAGGGAACCAATTAAAAATCAGTGGGTCTGAATAAAGAAAATACATTAAATTTTTAAATTGAAAAAATAAATAAATAAACAAATTGCCAAAAATTGCATCCTGTGTTATCTCAGAGGAGTTGACACTTATATGACTGTATTCCTATACATCCATCAGTAGTTAAAGGTCAAGGGTCAGCAAATGCTAATTCTACCTGTAAAACAATAACAATGTAATTGTCGCTCTATGATCTTAAGCCTCATTTGGAGCTTCTAAACTGGCTTTTGAAAAACTTTGATAATTTGCAGCTAATATTACAGATTTTCTTAGAATAAAAAACTAGCAGATGTGCACAATCAAACAAAAATTAGAATGACAATTATAGAGCAATCAGTATTATAAAAAAGAAAAGCCCACACTGTTTCTTAATAGATACATTATTGTATTAGTTAAGTTCTGTTCCGTTTATGTATCTTTCCTTGAAAATATGAAATGTCCCATGCTCCTGAATGCACCATAGCTATCTGACGCTCGTGAATGCATCACACTGGTCTGTGAACGCTGTGCTGTGTAGATGCGCGTTTGATTTTCCGCTTCAGACAAAGCTTTGCAGTTTCCCGTCGGCATCACTGTTTATTGTTGTGTGTGAAAAACAAGAGACTAGAAAAAATAAATCAGCCGTACCTCGGTCAAAATCTTTGGATTTAATGTTGATCATAACACCCATATATTTTTTAAATGAATCTTCCATATAATCACAAATGTTTTCCCCAGGAGAGGAATATTTAAACGTTTTTATATCATTAATATAACAACAAGTAGCTCCATTGGTCATAGTTTAATCCGTTTCCCTCGTTGATATGTGGTTGTACAGAGCGAGGCGCGCTCCCGCTACTGGGGATGCATATTCAGCAGGGATGCACTTTTCCGCATAACACCGGACGGACCGCGGTCTGCTAATCCGTGACCTCTGCATTAAACAGAAGCCAAAAGTAACGAGTAACGGTTGTTTTAATAATGTAAGGAATAGAAAGTACAGATACTCGTGAGAAAATGTAATAAGTAGAAGTCAGAAGTAAGAAGAAAAAATAGTAATGGAGTAAAGTATAGATACCTAAAAAATGTACTTAAGTACAGTAACGAAGTATTTGTACTTGACACCTCTGCATAATTGCAATGTCATTACAGCTGATCTAGGGTTTACAAACTCAGACATTATGAATATAGCAAATCTGCTTCATTTAGCTTCTCTTGCTCTCTTCCACTCACTTATTGTCTAAATAAACGGTAGACCCGTCTCAACAAATCTTAAAATTTAAGTAATGTTTCCAAAAATATTCTTGCATCATTGTTCTTTTTTATTTTTAGTGCATGTCTAACCACAGTGTTACATACGTCCCCCTTCTTCCATTTCATACTCTGATGCAACAGAAGATGTCTTCCATTGGCCAAAAACACTG